CTTTATTTATTTCGTTACAGACCAATAAACTGTCATCTGGGGACAGACACGGATGCTCTTTTTTTTTTTTTTTTTATTAATGACTTCATTCTAGGCATAATAAATCGACCTTCAAATAAGAGCACCACAAGGGAAATCTGCACTATCCACAAACTACTTAAAGGCAAAGCAGGCATGCGGAATCACTCGTAATAGTACAATGTATTGGAATTATTTAAATAGCGTCTGTACATGTCTGATGAGACGAAATAGAGGTCGCGGTATCATTTGTGGCTTTAACTCAAAAGTCCCCATGCATCCAATACCTTTCCAAACTATTGGGGAGTGGGTGGGGGATTAAAAACAATTTCTCATCATTTAATTAGGTGCATGTGCACACTCCATCCAGTGAGTTCATGAAAGTCAAATCAATGCCGAAAAAGAGGGGCGGAAACTGAAGTGCGCTTTGAATCCATCCCCTCAGCGTAACCAGACAAGACATCTCTGGAGAGCTTAAACATAATAAAAGGGACGAAAGGAGACAGGTTTTTGAGAGTTCTCCACAAGTGCGGTCGAAACATCGGTGATCTGTCCCGGCAGAAGCCCCCCCCCCCCCACCCGCCCGGGGGGCGTGAGATAGAACAGAACCACTGCTGGACTAACATAGAGCGGAAAACTCTAATCACTTTAGATTCTATATTTACTGATCCACTGCATGCCTCGGATCTGTGACGTCTGCTGTTGAGAGTTGTAGTAGATAATCTTCATTGACCATCCGCCTTTTCTAAAAGCGGTGTGATGGAGCTTGCTATTTTCGTGTCGTGGAAAAAAATGTTTGTACAACCTCCCCTTACACCCTCACGAATTCCACCTCAAGGCTACGTTCTCTCCATTCACTCCATTCAGATGATCACAGCGCAGCGGCGCAGGTATGGAAGTGGCTTCTACCATCCAACATGTTGCTACGGTGACAGCCTTGCCTGATTTGCGCCCAATGGAGGAACACTAATGCTTGCATTCGGTCGCCATGACAATCGCCGTGAAAGGCTCACGTGTCAGTGGAGGTATGAGATGCTCATCAAAATATGGAAGGCAGATTACGTGACTGGCGACTACCATGGTAAATCCGCATTTCTTCCTAGAGTTGATTTAAAAAATATCACCTGTTTCAGAGTGCTTTTCAATGTACCTTTCCTCGACTTGCGTCATCAGCCGCCGAAGAGCCGACAAGTTGACATTTGCTCCGAGGGTTGCACAACACTTGGGGGCCCATTCGTCATCGCACACGTGTGTCAGCGTCCATTATAAAGCCCCCCATGACTCGGCCCAAATGCCAAAAGTGCAGCAAAGAAAAAAAAAAGGTATTGTTGGAAAAGGCTTTCATCAGAGTGCACTCAGGTGAGGAAAATGAGAAAAAGGAAAAGTCTCCCTTGGTTCCTTTGAATCCATCACATGTGGACAGGATGCCATCTGAGAGGTGATATTTTATACGCTGTTTAATGTGTTTTAATATATAATATCACATGACATTAACTATTGTTTCTGTTGTACTATGGTAGCTGATATTTGATATATTAATCGGTCCTCCATTTCAGCTCATCTCGCTTTGAGATGAGATGACAAAATCCAAAGCGACCAAAAGGCGAGGGGGAACCGCCTGGGAAGGGAAAGTCAAGACAAATTTCACCAAGAAAACGGAGGCCGTGAATTGAATTTAAAAGGTGCCGAAACGCACAGGGTCGACTCTTCAACCGTGATGAAACGGAACATCGCCGGACTAAGTGGTCGTGTTTGTATCGCCAGCTTCCATTAGAGCCACCAAAAAAAAACAAAAAACAAAAAAAAACAAGGTCACCCAGGCTGTGCCAAAAGTCCCATTATCTATGATTAACATGCGCACGGGCAAAAAAATAAATAAATAAAATATGCTGGTAGAAAGTATTACTCTGTACTACTTTGAATGTCACTGAGCAACGTTTGGAAAAATAATCATTCATAAAAAATAAATAAATAAATAAAAATTGAAGCACCTGACACCCGTTTCACACCAGTCAACGGACTCAGGTGAAGAAGTCGATCGTAACAGACAAAAAGGTGCAAAGAGCTACTAACTGCTTGTATTCATACAATCATGAACGCATGAACACCCTATTTATTGCTTGGCCCTTTTCATCTATTCACAGATTCGCTTTGAAACCGATGATCTGTTTGCTGAAAAACTCACCTATTTGCTGTTTTCGCCTCCATAACGGCAATGGGGGGGGGGGGCAAAGTGTGTTGATAACCAAAGAACCGGAAAGGAAATGTATTGCAACATGAGAAAGCAAAGTGCAAGAAAATGAATGAAATATCAATGTCATGCATAACTAAATATTAACGAGCAAATGCTAATGGGTCTAGCATGTAGCTGAAGGCGTCATGGCTAATCACGGCGCAGGTCCATTATGTTCAAAACATTAACCTGACAAGGTTTTACGATTGTCGACAGTTTGAGGCATTATTTCCAAAAGGAAACGTAACCAACTTGGAAGTCAACCAGGTAGCGGACTTTTAGCGAAACAGGCCGATTTAATCTTTGCCATTCAGCTGCATGAAAAATAAGATTTTTTTTTTTTTTTTAATCCCGCAGAGTCCTTCTCATTACCAGCCTTTGGGTCTCCCGTGGAGCCCCCGGTTCTGCTTCTTTGATACGACCACCTGCCTGTGCTTGTTGCGGCGTGCGTGGCTTTAACTCTCACGGCAACAAAGCGCTGTCAGAACACAAGACGCAACCTCAGATCTTTGTTGTCGCCCACCGGCGAGGACGAGAAGTCTGACTTACAGCGCCGAAGGGTCAGAGAATGACATCATTGGCTTGCTACCGTGCCCACTTGTTGCTAAGGGAAAGTGCTCCGTCGCCTCTTCTGATGTGACAATAAGGACCGTATGTGTTTCGGTGAGTAGCACAGCTATTCCCTTTCCCACTGTTTCCATATGCCCGGGCCTTTCCATCACCAATGTTATCAATCAATTGAAAGGAAATGTAAAGTTCTTATCGGAGTCGTCTAAGCCGCCGTCACACAGAAATCGCTTCTCGAGGGAAATAATTAATCCCTTTAAAAAACAAACACCAACACTGACTGCGACCACCAACTTTGACTTGCACAACGCTGCTCATTTGCATTCCCTTCCACGATTCCCGCCCCGGCGCGACGATTCTCGTCAAGTGGCTGTTGGAACGCCGAGCACGAAAGCATCGGTGGCCCTCCGCTGCCACTGAAACTCATTTAGGAGCCGGTCTCCAAAGGGGATTCATGTGGGAGGGATTGGAAAGTCAAAAGATGGCATGGGAGGTGGGGAGGAAGGAGACTTGTATCAAAAAAAAAAAAGATCAGTCTATTCCTCTTTTTGCATCATTATCCCCAGAGTAGCTGTCTGCGGGCGGCTGTTGCGATCAGGCGGTGGCCCTAATGACACGTAGCAAGGGAATCATCTTGACACAACCATGTCGGCAGCTTTAGAATTTGCAAAAGGCCTGCCTGCAGGTACAGCTCAAAGATTACCTGTGCGGTCAGCGGGGACGAGGATAATGGGGGACGATTTGGAAGGGGATTGGGTAGCAGATTGTAATAAAATAGTCATCGGGGAGACAAATTGCCGAGTCGCTGTTTGAGCTTGTGTCAAATTAAGGGCTGTTTATTTTCATTTCATTTTTAAAACAGTTTGAGGATCAGCCAGTTTTTTTCGGCGGCGCTCCTGTCTTGCATCATAATATCGCCCCAACGAATACGACTGCAAAACTTTCAGACTTCATGCGAACATGACCTTAGTTCTCATCTCTTGCTTCCAGCTTATCCAATTGGCCTCGATTTGACCCTTTTATCACGTCCTGTGCCTGCTTTTTTTTATTTTTTTCGGCAGCCTTCAAACTTGGCGACTCCTCTTCAAACAATCGCAATGACAACATTGTGCCTCTTTACTCGATGTGCCATTGCGGGAGATGTCGAAGTCAGATCATGGAACGGGATTTCAGTCCTTTCACCGATGCGTTCAAAACTCTCAGGCCTGGCTCCTCTTATCTAAAAATTGAAAAATTGAAGATTATGCCGCCACGAGCAAGGGAAAGTGTCAAGAAAGTTCCTCTTGCTCTGCACCCCGGCACGAATTGATCATTTAGCACCCGCCGTACAACCGGGCGCGTACGGCCGAGTTGAGATATGGTGATTATCTCACTTTTTTTTTTCTGTGGCATTACAAACAAACAAATTTATTACAATGACAAATCAGCTCTCAACGCTTTAAGTAGTTTTCCTGCATTTTAATGGGGACAATCAGCGCATGATTTATGACTCGCGCAAACATAAACAACTGCTCCGTGAGAGATATTTGCAATCCAAACAAGCGAGCGGGCGACATAATTGCACCGCTTTCTCACAGCGTGTTAAACCTGCAGATTTGGGGATCAAAATATATTCTCGGGAACTTTTTACAGAACGGTGGCGTCTTGTTATATTACGGTTCACCCATCACGACCCGCTACATTGCTCTTTTGATTTTTTTTAATGGGTCTTAAGAGTATTTTATGTGTGATGCCCTCAAGTGGTGGGAAAGGAGAGCCACGGTTGCCGATGCACTGTTTTTTTTTTTAAGCCATAAATTAATTGCCAGGAGAATATAACACAGTGAGCACACTTGCAACAAGTGTCCGCCACAACTCTCAACTGGACTCAAAAAGAAGCATGGCTAGGCAAAAACTATTTATTTGCATCCCGGCAGGACTATTAAATTCGAAAATGTGATTTTTCTTTCAAAGTGGCTCCACCCAACTGAAATAGCTTTAATGCTGTTTAGCGACTTATCATTGTAGCTCAGCGAACAACATATATACAGACATATATTTATTTTTTATGCTGCAGGTAAACGCAATGTTATGTCTTATGAGCGCAAAAATCTGATTCCTGCCCATGTTTTGACCAAGAGGTCTTTTGTGATGCCGCAAGAGGAGAGGAGGAGCGGCCGCCCACTCCCCACACGCCCCGCACATGGTTAACCTCGTCCCCACATCCAAATAGTGAGCGAGAGTAAAGGCGCGCACAAGAGAGGGCGGACGCCGCCTGCTTCAGCTCCGCAACCGCTGTTCACCAAAGGCGGGTAGGCGGGTGGGGGAGACAAGAGAGGGAACTCGTCTTCTATCTTCTGCGCCGAGATGTTCTAACAGAGCGCGATTTTCAAGGAGGTGCTAAAACAAGTGTTTGATGGGGGAAAGGAGAGCTTTGTTAGCGCACCGGAGAGAGATTTACGCGGGGGAGGCGAGCGCAACCGCCGTTCCGCTGCCGAGGTGCGCGCACACCAACTCGGCGGGACACGTCGCACGTTCCTCCGGATGGGAAAGTCTCCGATGAAGCGTCGCTCTCCAGGCTACAGTGTGATGCACGAGCCGGGGGTTGCATCTGGATTGTCAAGAACTTACAGGTAATTGTTTTTTTTGTTGCCATTTAATTAAAAAAAATATTTTTTTTTTAGTCACTAAGCAGTGAAATGGTTTTAACGCTCTGGGGGTTGATTGTGCAAATGCATGCAAGGTGTCCATCATCATGATGGGGGAGGAGGTACTGGTTGCTCGTCCACAACTTCCACCCGCACGTCGCTTCCACGCTCCTTTTGTTTATGTGAGCAAGCATGTGGGGGGAGGAGAGAGAAAGAAAGAGATGGAGACGTTGAATCGGGTGATGAGGAGATGACAACGTGTCTGTTTCGTGTATTTTTATGGCAACAGCAAAAATTGAACGAAGGCACATCATCTTGATGACCTCCGCCAAGCGCGAAAACTGTTTGCACCGGGTTATTGTTTTGGTAACAGTCTGGAGAAGGTATTTATTTTTGCCATTTGCTGGACTGACAAAAAGGAACTCGTACGCAGACACATCAGCGCCAAGCCCGAGTCAACGCGCTGGGTGTCACTATGGACTTGAAAAAACTAATTTATAAAATAAAATAAAATAATCCCCCCCCCCCCCTTCGTGTCTGTGACGTGCACTCATGGCCAATGACAAGGCACTCCAAAGCGACCACATCGGCGGACTATCCGAAGGTGTAGGCATAACGAGCTGATGGCTCTGCTGCATGCACCACGAGGACAGATCTGAAAAACTGTCATTAAGTGGCTTGGTCATCAAGTGCTGCCTCAATGAGTGTCATCAAAATCAATGCTTTTATTTTCTTAATGAGTCCACTTTTTTTCCTTTCAGACTCTTGGCTAATTAAAGCCTTTTGCCTCAAGTGCAACAGCCTAGCTCCACCCATCCCAAAAGTCTTGGTTCGAAGCAGGGGTGGGGGGTGAGCAATGGGGCACCTCGGAACTGTGTGGATGATGGATGGATGGATGGATGGATGGATGGATGGATGGATGTAGCAAGCTTGACAGTAGACGCACCGTACTACAAAGCCCCCAAAACAAATGATCGTGGAAAAAATACACTGACCATTGTTGTGTTCCCTCAATCAATTGGCCGCGAAGACAGGTCAGCCTCGGTGCTGGCTGGCAGCAGCCTGTTATATTGACAGCAAGCTGAATTTGCTGAATTATGCAACATTTCCATTCCCACAAGAGGATTTACACATCAAGGAACACTTAAAATCATACAATGAGGAGGGGGTTTGCATGGGGGAGGGCTGCAGAAGGGTGTTTTGTTTTATCAAGGTGCAGGGAGAGCGGGAGCCACATGATGACACCGGAGTGGTTTAATTCCCAAAAATGGATGATGAAAATTGACAGAGGTTGTAATATAATAAAACTCTGCTATTTACGGTGGATAAGGGATGAGCATTTGAGTAATTGTTTTCCCCCTTCCACCCCTCCCCTAAAAATGTCACAGATTACTACAGTGGTAGTTTGGACTTCATTTTGTCCTCATTCCTTTCTTTCCTGATTTTCTTCAACCTAACAGATTAATTTATTGCTGGTCTTTGCAGAAAAATAGCTGGGAAGAGGACTTTGAATGAAATAACCGAGTCAAGGTATCACTGTAGCTGAGACCATAAATCTACCGCAATCTATGATGCCAATAAACTTGTATAGCATTTCAAAAACTCATTTTACAACATTACTCGTAAAAAATGGCTTACGAGACTTTCCATAACTTCCATTAACAACCCAGGCTAAACTTAGCGCCTCCCTAACATGGAAAAAATATATATCTCCGTCCAGATGTACTGCATCAACATACTTTCTTGACACCAATTACTACTTTCCTATTCGCCAGGACTTTGGCACCATCTTAGACGATTATGGTGCCAAAGGTCAAACAATTTGTGGATAGCGAACTGTGAACTGACAGTTCGGGGGGGGGGGGTCACAATAAGAGACATTGCTGCTGCTGACTGATTGCAGTGCTCAGATGACAAATGCGCCTGGAATTTGCATCCTCCACTCCGAGCCCCGGCACACGCCCATCAATAACGAGCAGACGTCGCCGTTCATTATGTGCCACGCAGGCCGTCGCCGCGTTCCAAATTAAATCACAGAGAGAAATGAATTTGCCGGCGTCGAGAGGGATGGAGTGGCTCGATAAACATGGCCGACAGATAAGGCGCATTGGTATTCAGGTGCGCCTCGACACTGGTCTCAGGGGGGCCCATCGGTTAAGAATCAGTTTGGAAAGGGGCTGGGGGGGGGGGCATCGGGTCAAAGGGCGGGAGGGTGATTGGCAGTGGGCTGACGAAGGCAGCCAGCATTGAGCTGATTGACAGTCTGATGGGACTGAAGTGCATTGACAGATCGCGTAACCATGACCCGGATGCTAACAGGATGCCTGCTAATCTGCTAGACTCGTGTCTGACACCTCTGGACTTCTGTCTTCATCTTTTTTTTTTTTTGTTTCCTCCCCTGACACGTTCGATTCTGTATGTCTAGAATAAATAGATTTTACAACATGGGTAGTTTGCAGCCTTATGTACTGCAGTGTCGCCACTTGGGCTTGTAAATCATTGGATTCTGACAGCAGAGGGCGCAATCTTTTTTCGTCCACGTAGTTTATGGCCTAGATGGGTGTTACTGTAGAAATGTGTTTTTTTTAAAAACAGCTCATTGTGTGCATTAAAATCGGTATAAAGAGAGTAGAAGTCAATATTTTGAAAATTGCAAAGTTTGGTGCACAAATTTTACGATTGACAGTAATGTTATTCTTGCAGGTATTAAAATGACGTTTATGTTAAAGTTGCTACTGTTCTGGAAGACTGTTTTCTTGATATACGTTTGTTTATGTTTACTATTCGGGATCATTATTTTCTGAAAATCTGCTTTTTTTAAATTTTAGGTCTCTCGTAGTAAGTAATTAACGTAAGAAGCAAAAAGGGTGCAAGAATAAAACAACTGACAAGGAAGGAAAAAAGATGCCAGAAAAAAAGCTTTGTACAGCCCACCCTGTGGATATTAAGAGGATAAAAGAGGCAATAGTGCCAGATATTCTACATCTGTCGGCTGATATTCGGATTATCAATTTCACGTTAATTCATGCATTTTCTTAATCTAAAATGATGCACACGTTGATTTAAAAAAAAAGTCCAATTGCATCGCGATGATAAAACCACACACAGATTAAAGCACATGGCAACAATCTTGTCTTTCTAATTCGGGTATGGCTAATTAATGCGTCCTTCCAGGATCATGAATGATTGAGTAGATTTTCGTCAATATAACGACGGGTCGCGGGGTTATGGTGGAGTCGTCATTACGACTTGAATGGACTGAGTCCAACATAGTTCTCAGCCTTTGCAAGTTTTCAGCAATGATCTTCCAAAATGTATTTAGAAAGAAAAAAAAAAACCTCTGTAATTCACTTGAAGCCCCCACCCATCTCACATCCGTTTCTTCCTTTTTGATTGCACAGCAGTTCAGTCCCGTGTCAGCTCTTTAGCATTCACGCAGCATTTCTACAGAAGTGTCTCATGCAAATGTGACCTCTCGCGTGCTTGTTTTCTGAGAATGTCGAAGAAAAGTATACAGGAAGTGATTGCGGCTAATAAGGCTTATTTGCTATCAGACATTACTCACTTGTTGTCTCATTAAGCACATCGAAAAAGCGCCGCGCGATTTAGGTCGGGACCCCCCCTGAATTCATCTGCATTTGGCATTTCTATTTCCAACACAGATTGAATGTCGAGGGTGTGACGTTTCAAAAAGGGAGGCTCGAGGGTTGACGCGGTCGTTTGGGGTGGGTGGGGGGGTGGGGTGGAAACAATTTGATTGTGTTTTGATGCTTGGAGCGCTTAAGCGTGTTTTTGACGCCTCGTTTGTCATCCGATTGAGACTTGTTAACCCGCTGGCAGGAACTTGACCACCGTGGCGGCGACTCTGCAGAATGAAAATTAAACGGCTGCTACCGGGCTCGCATTTAATGACATAAACAGCTTTTGGCAAATGTATTACACCAACCGACATAAAAAAGGCAGCAGGTAGCATGAACTTCCATGCTCAAGCGCTAACTATCATTTGACATTTCAATGATCATCAACATCAATGCCTTGGAATTGGCCTCAGATAAAAGCCTCAAAACCAAAATGTCTGTCTTATTGGTTCAATTATGTGCATGGGTTCTTGAGACTTGAGATAATCTCTCAATGTGTGACAGCACAGTGGTTGGGAACCGCTTCCGTATTCTTATCTAAAAGGAACCCAAGGACTAAAGTGAAAACAATCAGCCCGGAGGGCACACAACAAACATAATATCCCGACAAAATGCATTAGGATCAATCGCTATTGCTTTTCTGGGTAGCGTATCAACGAGTGTTTAAAACGGGGAGGCAAATTGAACCGAAATGAGTCCTCTTGCGAGATGCAGCTCTCCCAACCAGGAATTAAAACTCAACTCTCCAAAAAGTCTGCTTGATACAAACGCTAAAGACTCCCCCTTCTTCTGCATTACTCTTTCCTCTGCAGGTCTCCGACTGCTGAATGCCGCTAGGGTCTCAAGCGCCGTTCAAGGAATCGCCTATCATTAAAAAGACTTTTGCCCTTTTGTTGCTATGGAGAACCTTAGCGAGCTCCAGAATCCTTTGTTGGACAAAAATAGCAAGCACATGGTCAACGGTTATGGAGGAGACTTCCCGAACAACCAGTTCCAGGAGAACATTATCAACTACTTTGGTGGCGAGAGCGACGGCGGCGGTGGCGGCGGCGGAGGGAAGCCGGTCAATGTAGTAAGCGGCGGGGGCGGCTACAATAGCAACGGCAAGATGAAGTCGCAGCAGCTCTTGGATGCTACCTCGCTGCATTTAGCCGTGGAGGCCTTCTACAGGCCCAACTTCATCCTGTACAAAGAGGACAATGGCAGCATCAAGGCCAAGGAATATAAAAGCGAGTGCTGTGAGACCACCTTCACGGAGAAGAAGGCCAAGGAGACGTCCAACTCGACCGGAGGGTCCGCGGCCGGCTCGGAGGAACCGCAGGCAAAGGTGCCGGAGGACGGCGAACATGTCAAAATCCAGACCGTTTCATATGAGGTGGAGGAGGAAGAGTACGTAGAGTATGAGGTAAGGCTTTGAAATACTATTCTGAAAAAAAAAACATACTCTTAAATACCATAATGGTGGCCCTCTGTTAAAGAAAACAATGCCTTGAAAGATTTGACATTTCATTGTACACGACACAGATTCAAGACACCCTGTGCCGGATGTAGCAAAGCAGCCCCAGACAATAACAGACCAAGCCTTCTGACTCTGAACGGCACATTGGGCTGCAGAATGCCTTGATAGTTTTTAGACTTCACTGAACCCAGCACAGATTCAAGACATCCTGTGCTGGATGGAGCAAAGCAGCCCCAGAATGTAACTGACACCAAATATTCTGACATTGGACGGCACGTGTGCGTTTGGCCTCCAAGAATGTCTTGATAATCCTCCCAGTAATGATTCAAGATTCATCACCTGCAAACTGCGTATTGAGTGCTAATTCACACTGCGCGAGCAAACAGACACCAGGTTAGAATTCCTGCAGCGATCTGTGAACACTATAAAAATAACCCCAATACGGTTGCACATCTCAACCACAAATCCCGCCAGATATGCTGACCTTGTCATCCATTTCACACAGCCGTAAATTCACATCACCATAAGTCTTCATTCAGGGCTCTAGCCCTGGGATATTAAGTGAAAATGCTGCATTAGCTGAACTGTTTTGGCAGAGCCAATAGTGCAAAAACACTCCAAAGGATTTAGGGGATTGCGATGTGGGGATTGGGTGTCCAGTTGGACCGGGTGTCCTGCGAGGCTACCACATGGCCAGCGAAATAAAATAACCAAGATGACACGTAGAGAAAATGTCATCCAAATCATAGCGGGGATGCAAATTAAGTGTTTGCGCTTGTATTGCTGTTTGGCTTGCAAATAAAGTCAAAGAAGTGACATTCCTTCACTTCACAAACGAGTTGGCATGTGAAACCATCATCATCAGAGGCTGGTTTTGCCAGATAAAAAGCAAAACATACTCGGTGGGACTCATTATGTCGTAGACTACAGACTATACCAAAAGACTCGCCTCCAGTCTGACACGAGGATGGAATCCCACAACTACTTAACAAGATTGTAATATCCAGGATGGCTCGATTTTAGATCAGATATCTATATTAAAGAGTCTTTATTAGGGCCAGAGCATCGGGTTGTGTGAAGGCCCTCTTCGAATTGCCGTATCACTGAATAGCTGCAGAAATAATTGGTCCCACCATTCCTTGTCATTGCTGTTGCAAAAGAACAATCTGGCCAGTGTAAGACGGACTACGGCAGATCAGGACACTCCATTACAAGGTGCAATTTACATTACGCACAAAATGAAATTTCAGGATCAACCTAAAATACACTAGATCCTTTCCCGACGAACCTGATTTGACTTAATCTTAAACTTAAGATGAATCCTTAAAGTTTATTCGAAAGCCCAATATCCTTAACGAAGTCACGCCGACGCCCCAACAGCCAAAATCTGCCGAAAACACTTCTCGCCGACCCCCCCGATGTGATGAGTACAGCATGTCTCCGTCGTTTCACCACAAGCGGCAAATTGTCGACAACCAATTAAAAGGTGCTAACTAATGTGCGGAATCGCGTTTAATGGTAACGTTCGGCGGAACAAGGCTATCAAAGCTTGGGTTTGACACGCTTGTTAGCGACCGGAGCTCCTCGCCCCAAATGTGTGCGCGCTTGTCCGTTTGATCCTTTTCTTCCATTAAAATTATCCGCCGGTTTCACCTGAATACATAATAAGCACTGGAAGCTGCATTTGGATTTGCCGGCCATCTGTTCCGCCACCCCTGGTGCATAAAATCTGCATTTAGCAGTGAATTTCATATTGACTTGACGCTGTGAGCATGTGGTCTTGCCACTCCGCCGCAAATTTTAACAGCAAAAAAAAAAAAAAGAACACCTCTCAGATTTCGTCAATGTCCTCTTTTAAAGAAAACTATGTCCAATATCAATATAGCTGAGTTTCACAATGGCTATATTTCTCTGGTGTGATTGGAAGGGCTATTAATATTCACTAAGGGGGGAAGAAATGCGCTTATGCCTTCATTAAAACTAAAATGTGGTCATGCCTCAGTTCAGTACACACATATTGTTCGCCCTTTGAAGCGCCGGCGCCGGCGAGAGCCAGAGTCATAAATTCTCATGAAATCCTCCACAGGTATCCTTTCTCCCATTTAGCAGTAAACGACAATAACGATCGGATCATTTCAAAGCGGCAAGAAGCGGTGCGCTTGTGCGATTGATTTGACCACGAGCTGTCCTCGGCTAACGGATGATATTTATCCCTTCGCACGCCGTGTCTCTCCGGCCAATAAAAAACGTAAGTGTCCCTCGGTGACTCCGGGAATGTAATAGCCTTGTGTCAAAATATACGGGGGGGGGGGGGGGGGGTAAAACCGAGTGAGCAGACGTTTGCCTTGAAATAGGATGTGGTGGGGAAAGAAAAAAAAAAAAAAAACACAAGCATTAGTCTTAACCTCGTCACTACTTTTTGGAATATAAAGGAAAATATGTAGCGTAATTTGACTTCACGCTCACCAGTTGTCGATTTATTGAACAGGCAGGCAGCCCTAGATCTCGGAAATGTCACAGATGTTCCAGTGGCAGCCTCGGAACAAATTCCCAACCATGAAAGAAGCAAAAATAGGGGAAGTATCGAGGAGTGGATAGCAAATGCCAACGTTGCACTGTACAAAGATAGAGCACAAGACTCTAATTGCCTAACCCCCGACCTCAACTTCTTCCTTTGACCGTCCCCTGTTTTAAAACCCCCGGCCTGGCCAGCTTGTTGTCATGGCAACAGGTCAGAGTCAAGGCCAAGACACGTGTGGCGGTTTGACTGGAAACTTTTGACTGAAACTTGACCGTTTTGTTTGGCTTGCTGCTGCTGCTGAATTTATCATCATCATCAACCCATTGATCTGATTTGGATGCGGCGATTGTAAAATCTCGCCGTTTGCAAACAGTCGGTATCAGCTCTCCCCCAGATGGACGCGTGCAACAAATCACGGGCCGCGTCAGGTTTGCCGCGCGGCTAAATGTTTAATTTACAAGCTGATACGGTTGCTTTTGCAATCAGCGGAGAGCAAAATTCCCTGCGGGCCTGAGCTCTTTTTATGCCACCAAATGCGGCTAATTATATCCCCCCCATTACGGGCGATAGGCAGCGTCTAATCACATTTTCGCAAATTACAGTTACTCGGCTCAGTCGTTTGGGCTGCCACAATCACTGCGCTATGATCTCTCAACAAGAAATGTGTTTGTTGTCGGGATTGTTTGATGCTCTTTGTTTGGGACTGGGGCGCAGACGGGGGCTGTTGATTGCATCTTGCATGAAAATAATGTGAACACTGATGGTTTCACTGTTATTTCCTCTTTTTTTTTTAAAGCAACTCATTGGTATCATGCTAGCTTTGATACAATATATATAGATATTTTTTTTTTGTGCAATGGCACAAAAGTATGTTTCAGTTTAGTTTGAGATGTGTCATGGCTGATAGCGTCTCCAAGCAAACTCGGAAGATAGGTTTGTGTTTCAATTCATCCATTTTCCAATCCGCTTTATTCTCACAAGGGTCGCGGGGGGGTTGCTGGAGCTTAGAAAACAGTAAGTACAGCGGTACGGGCCACACTGTTTTTGTTTACACAGTGGAGCTAACGCTTCCTGTCCCCCGACTTAATGAGTTCCTCTGCACCCGTCGAGTATTTTCTGAAGACGAATACAAGTAGCAATGAATGTGCAAGCATGCCTCGTACATCACGACCGAGCTCTTATGTCCCGTCTCAAGGACTTTTATTAGTGGCGCGGCGAAGCCACTCCCCTTTGGGAAGTGGCCTGTCACGCCGCCTTAGAATTATTAAGTCTTAAGACAAGCACCCTGCTCACCTCTGGGACCTTGGGCTCCTGCATGGACATAAATTAACCATCTGGAGCAGGTGTGGCAACGCGGAAGGCCACGTGCGGATGTCGGGACCCGGGCGGCCAGGGGAGACCACCCGCCGCCGCGTGTTAGGCATTGCGGAACATGCGATGCCATTTGTGCGCCCCTAATGACTCAACTCCATGAGCGGTCGACTCTTTTTTTTTGGGGGGGTTATTTTTCAAAAAGCGTTTAAAGATTGCTTTCACTACTCACGAGGACACGCCGCACGCAGGGCGTGCTCAAATTTCGACTCGGCTGCATATTTAATCAATTGCTAAATCATCCAGCGTGGCAATTTCTCATTTGTGTTGCTCTTTCATTCAGCCACGTAATTGAATTCCTGTTGGCGGCAAAGTCGTTAGTTTCTTTCTTTGGTTTCCACTCTGCCGCGCGCAATCCGATTCATTTGTGTAATTTCAGACACCGACTTTCGAGTTATAAGGCAATTTAGAAGCCAGCGCTTGTTTTCTGCCTGGAGCTTTAATTGCATTCCGATTTTTCTGTGTCTTTTCATTCACGCCGTTGCGCCTGCAGACACGTTTTGGCGGCGCTAGACCCAACAACTGCAGCGCAGCGTGCGAGATGCATGAAAAGTATGTAATGAATTCTCTTTTTCTCCAGAGAAACCTTCAGCACATTAAATCAACAGTCCTAATGTAATTTTGGGTGCCTCGGGCATGATTTGATTGACTTCTTTTTATCGGTTAGTCCAAATAGTACTTTTTAAAGGATGCCTTGGTTCTCCGTCTCTCACTTGCAGGTGCCCACAATGTAACATGAGAAATTTACAAAGAAAGCCGGTACACAGAAAGCGTTTTCAAACTTTTGATAACATACCTTCTTTTTTCTTTCCAAAAATTTCGATCTGTGCTAAATTGGAAGAGTTTTCATCTCCTGCACACACCTGAATCCTGAACCTTACCCACAACATGCCAGATGTGCACCAAGGCCACCATGTGATGACCTGCCATGTGCAACATGTTATAAATATTATGGGTATGTAAAACTGGAAGGACATGGGTTGGGGATGGGGCTGGGGGTAACAAAAAAAAAACAGGCCAACCTCTTTGTACGACGGTCTCAAGAGGATTGTGAAAGCATCCATTAGGGCTTTGTTACCTGTCAGGCAATTGGCTCATGTTGAAAGGATTTACACCACCCTCCCTTCAGCCACCTGCATGTTACCGTTACTCCCCTGGCTGGTTAAACATCTGGCCTGCTTCTGCTTAAAATGCAGACTTTGAATGGATTGTTCTTTTCCAGCTGCTGGTAATTGGCCCACGGGAAGGCTTGGCGGCGGGATCGGTGGCCCGTTGTGACGAAATCTCTGCAAACATTCCACAAATGGCTTTTGGGCTACCAAAGGGCCACTCGTTGCGGCGGTGAATCGAAACAACACAAATCTCCCAGCATGCCTTGTGCTCCCACTCGTTCGACTGATGTGATTGTTACGGCGCGCGTAGTCAATGTCATCATCTTTTGACAAATGTTGGCCTGTCCCCATGGCGTCTTATTATTTTTTACACGTTACTAACCAATGGGTTCAAAATAGCTTGAAAGCAAACCTATTCAGTCTTGAACTCGCCTGTCCTCTTCCCTCGCGACATTAAATGGATTGCCATCATGCTTCGGTGCTGAAGAAACAGGTCAGCCACGAAGGTTAAATCCATGCATATTCAGTCACACCGCTTAGTCACCTCATCGTTATTTAATGCATCAGGCCTGGCGAAGACCTTTGAGGAAAAAGTCAGGGAAGATACACCAAAGCTAACGGCTATGGTTGCATTATTAGTACATGATTTGATGATTTTATGATAGCGATGGAAAAATTGAGGCTATTTTTCTACCTTTACATGTTTAATTACCTCAACAGGGTGTCCCAATTTGCATTTGCAGAGCACGCTTTTTTTTTTTTTTTTTTTTTGCTCGCTCCACTTTCGAGTAATAACACGCTTGTTTTCTTCCCCTCAGTTTTATTTTGGGGAGTCCATTAATCCGCCGTCTGCGCGACCATTAGTGGGGCAAGGTGGGCAAAACTCCACCGCCCACGCGTTAATCCCGTCATCCATCAAGGAAATTGTTTCACTCCCACCAAGTATGGACGGCTACGCAAAGACGGTCGCGGCGTTGAGGACAATAAGCTCTGACTATCAAGTAACTCGCGGCGTGACGAGCGGCTGTGAGAAAATGAGGCCCCTTGTTTTATATGATTGTAAGGGTTATGCTGGTACATGTCTAAAGGTAAATTTGGAGGTTTGTTTTCTACACACATTATACTTGCCCAAGCAGATTTATGTGTTCGTGAATTGAGTACAGATTTTTATTTTTTTAAAACCATTTCAGTTGCCCGGTATGTTGTTTTTTTGGGGGGTGTGGGCGTGGCTAAAGGTGGGAATAAAATTGCATTTTGAAGCAAGTATTTCGTATTTAAAACGCAGCGATGGGAGTCATGACCAATTGAGCAATTCACTAAGTTGTCGTTAAGTACTGTGACGATTGTGACCGTCCGTCCTCCGCGAGTGTTGCAGGCATCAACTTCTACGTGTTATTTTTGTTTTCCAAGCATGTTGTTTTCCTCTTTATCAAACTCGCAGCAAAACTGTCAAGATAAAGTCTAACCGAGCCCTTCCGCTGCATGACAACCGAAAGGCCAGTGTGGCGACTGTCGGGAAATAACCCTTCGTTCATTTTGAAGCAATGGCAGCAAAATGGAGTGCTTTGCTTTTGATTTCATAGCGTGTTGTGAAAAGTCGAACGGTATGACTTCGGCTATGGGCATAGGAGCTCCGCACCATTGGTGAGAAACAATTAAAACATCTGTGTTACTAGTTGTTTTTCTTGTTGCCGTTTTTATCTTGAACACAATTCCCTCAGTGGCGAGAGGACATGAAATAAATATTCAGAATTATTAAGACAAGCCACAGAAAACACGCCAGGATTAAAGGTAATAAAGGGATTACATTGCCTCATATTGCTCAAATGAAAGAAATCTTAAGGATGCTACAGTCCGCCGTGGTTCAGAATTCTCTTTTGGGTAAAAATACATCATTAACTGTGTTTTGTTTTTTTTTTCCTCCCCCGCTCTTCATTTATTTCTCATGTTCCACCCCGGTTCTGGATCATCCTTCAAACGGGATGATGTGTGCAGGCTGCAGCTTAATGTGGCCTTAATCTCTGATGTCTTTTCATTACGCAACACATCTTGGCTTTGGAGCAGGGAAGGTTATTGATGCAAACGTGTATTGATATAGGTGGGGAGACTGGAGGGTGGGGTGGGGGGGGGAAGCTATACAGAATTGCAAACTCATTCCAGCGAGAGCTTCATTCAAAGTGTACATTCGAGCATGACGTCTTTTGTCGTTCGCCTGACAAAACGTCGGCAACTCCATCTCCCAAAACTAATGAAAAACTAATGGACCTGGACAAAAAGTCCATGAATATACGCGTACATATTACGCACAAGCGGGCCGAGACTCGTCTGCCTTTCCCATTTGTCTGAAAGCATATTCTTTTTACTCCCACTCCAAATGGAGTTGCTCGTTGCCATCCTCCCATTCTTATACGGCTTCAATGTCTCGTTGGCGATCACACCCTCACAAAGTGTCTGAGCTGATAAGCACGCTCGTTACCGATATTGCACAAAGAGAACACGAGAGAAAAGCTTAAAGAAGAATCGAGCCAGCGTTTATTTAGCTGACAGCTAAATAGCAGTGTACCAACAAGGATGCCACTTTTGACTGGAAGATCTTGCCGAAGATCAGATACGCCTGGTGGAATATGAACACGGGAATCTCAATGGCTCATAAAATAAATCCGTCGTCCCGAGTAGACCAGAATTGATGAAGACCTGATCGAAATTGTGACAGACGAGTGATCATTGGGTTTTAGACTGAAATAGGCCCGAATCAAAATTCCCCAATGTCAAGCTAACACACCTGGACAAGTGTCGTTCGAAATCAGTTCACATAAACGGCACGTCAACAGCGAATCAGACAACACAAGCTCGCACCATCAAGTAGGTTACAAGTTGACACAACACAATATGAGACCAAACCAGGTGCCACGTGTATGCTAGCATTTGCCAACAGCTAGCTTGTTGAAATATTTCATGATGTAGTGGCTCAGCCAGACTAAAAGCCCAGGACCACGAATGCAAGGGAAATTATAGTTCCACATAATTTGTTCCATTTCACATTCAGGTCAACAAAAATAATACAAGCGGACCAACGATAGGCGGTCGTGCAATGCCCCAAGCTAGCGCGCAACCTTCCAAAACAGTTGACTGGCTATAATGCACAGCAAGTAAAGAGTAGCTTACCATGCTAACAGGCAGTCATGGGAAGTCACGGTAGCGGCTTGGCCGCAGTGCGGCTGACACAGAAAGTAACACGATGAACTGCCTGGAAAGAGAAAAGAGAAAGTTGTCCAAGTCAGACGTTAAGAACCAAAAGTTTCTGAAAGTCTAATTTTCATGCGCATCACAAATTCAAACGCCTGTAAAAAAAAAAAAAAAAAGAATCCACAAACGTATGACAAATTATTTATTGTGTCCTGTACAGACAGACTGCTCTAGCGACAGCGAGAGTGAGGACAATTTCATCGTGGTGCCTCCGAGGGACCACCTGGGCTTGGCCATCTTCTCCATGCTCTGCTGCTTCTGGCCTCTGGGAATCGCAGCATTTTACTTCTCGCAGGGGGTAAGCGCACGCACACTCACGCACACACACACACACACACACACACACACACACACACACACACACACACACACACACACACACACACACACACATACACACACGGTGTACACCCTGGTCGTCGGCTATGTACAGCAAGGTTATTAGAAGCTGTATGTGGCATAACAATCACACGCCGGTGTACTCAAACCAGTCGCCGTCAATGCCAGGTGTGGTATACAAACACGTTTGAGTTTTGAAAATAAATCAAAAGTCACTCTCCAAGCTTTGTCGGTATGTTTGTTGAAAGGCGTGACACAAATCTCAGCTTTAATTCAAATGATTGTGTGTGACATAACAATCACACACTCTCGTGTGGCGTCGTGAATCCTCAGGCTGGAAAACGAGACATTTACTAGTGTCATGAATCACCATAAAAGGAAAAATCCAAGCAGCGAGTGAGGAATGGAGCGAATGTAAATAAGTAGACAACATATGAACACACGTCCAACCACAGCAATTTTTACCAGTGAGATTTTTTTTTTTAACAGATTTCATTTGAAACCTCCTTTGTGTCAGAACAAAAAAAAAACCTCTGGGCTAATTATGTGGAAGTGATGGCTGCGTTTCAGACCAGAGACCCCTCCCCGCCGCCCCTCACAAGGTGCAGTCCTGAGAAGTAGGGAGCGTGGTAGGGAGGGTGGGCTTCTTTTTACATCTTGATAACACACTTTGCTGCGCCTCATTCTTTGGCCAAAAAGAAAAATTAATGAATTCCGTATGCGCATATCTTGACTTAGCAGTTCAAAATGATTTATTATTACTCTCTGTCAAAGCAAGAATCCTGCAAAAAATAAATAAATAAATAAATAGCAGACATCTCTCAACCAAAGACACCTTTCAAGTGATCGTCAAACCTTGTAGGATTATTAAGGGATGAAACAAATTGAAAGATGAATGGAAAATAAAGGTCAAACTCACAATGAGTACATGTTACCACGCTGCTGGTGAAAATCTTCAACACGTGAAAATATCACAAAGTCAATCAAAACCACTCTGAGTTTCAATTTAAATTTGGATTGAAATTTGCAATTTGTGATGTCTTCCAACCCTGCGGGATTGCTTTTCCTTTGCCAAAACTAGAAGCCTGTTCATTTTGAAATAGGATATTGCTATCTACAAAATAGAATGACGGAAAAAAACAAACACTTACACTGCTACTCTTTTTTTTTTTATTTTTTAATTTCAAACTTTCTGGGACTTCAGTGCTTTGTCTCAGCAAGAACCTTAATAATTCAAAAGAACACGAAAGCCAAGATGGTTGAGGAGTCCGAGAATCTTGAGCTAAAGTCTTTTTATCTAATACAAGATGGCAGCGGAAAGATGAATAGGCTACGTCTTCTTTGTTATCACGGTACTCGTCACAAGTTCGACATTGAACGTTGAAATTACAGCTCACACCCTCAAAAGATTCCACCTTGCATTCTCTGCGAGAACGAAAAAAAAAAAGACAAACAAGTTAGCGAGCATAATAGAGATTTGCTGATGGCAGATCAATAGCGTCGCCGTCCCATCGGAAGGTCACCGAACACTGAGAGCAATTGCAGCAAGAGACAACTGCTAAAGCATAAAAAAAAATAATAATAATATAATAAATAAAACAAACAAAGAAACAAATGTGACACCTGAAAACCTTTCTGGAGGAAATACGGTGTTGTGCATTTGATTAGCGAGCGGAACTGACTGCCATTATCGCCACGAATGGTGTGACTGTGTGTTGTTTGGAGACGCAGAGAGGCTGCAGAGATCGCTCTCATGATTATGCAAGTTATCGTACAAAAAGCCTGACAACAATAGATGACAATGATTCATTCGAAATTGTGAGTAAATCAGTGTTTACGTGACACAAGTGGGGCTCTCAAGTGTGTTATGTGTCTGATGAAGGTTAGCATGTAGCAATACCATAACTTAGCATTTTGTCCTGTTTTTTTTGTGTGTTTGTGTGTGTGTGTGTACATAAGCTAGAGAAGCACTTAGCACTTTATAAAAGCATATATATATATACACAGTATAAGAATTAAACAGTTTATGCATTCATACGGATATAAAAAAAGAAGATGGGCACAACTGCTCAGTAAGCAGCGGCAATATTAGTCACATTTCGTATTTACATTGTCTGTCTACATGTGTTGCTGCACACATTGATGCTATTCGTCCATGTTGTTTGTCAGCGGCTTGTTTTGATCATACGACTCAGTGCAGCGTTGTTTTCCCAGTTTCCTCCCCATTTTTCACGTTTGTTTACCCTTTTCAACATCCTGGTATTTCTGGCTTACTCATACAGTAGATTTCAGCGGCGTCGTCAATGCCTGTCCTTGAGTTTTCCAAATGATGTTAAATTTGCCATTTATCATCTGACGGCACATATTAGCACAACCCACAGTCCTTGACATTTTCCTACTAATTGCTGCCAACGAGCTTTTTCTGGCTTCATCTGTCAAGAGGAATGTCCTCCTACTTTTATCAACACTTGTGCAGAATCAACAGCCAGCTTGTGTCAATGCCAAATCCCCTAACCTGCCGCCTGACCTTTTTCTTTCCCTCCTTATCTATCTTATTTATTTATCTGTGCTCTTTCTTCCAGACCACCAAGGCGGTCCACAAAGGCGACTTCCCGCTGGCGAACATCGCCTCCCGACGTGCTCTGTTCCTGGCCGCCCTCTCCATCACAATTGGCACCGGAGTCTACGTGGGGGTGGTGGTGGCACTTATCGCCTACCTTTCAAAACCGGGACACATCTAGCCGATTGCTCATATCTGCCGGGAAGAGAAGAGCTGCTTGAAGCTTGCATATTTAGAGGATCGTTCTTTGGTGGCTGTACAGATTTTCCCCTGCCACCCTCATTTCTTTTCCCTGAAGATTCCCCCCCGTCAGCCAGAATTAGCACAGCGGCAGGAAAAGGGGGCGAGCTTGAAGGTGCGGCAAGGATGAGGAAAAGTTGACAAGAATGGATGTTTTCCCTCATCATAGTGAGGTTATCCTCCATTGAACTCTACGAGAATCATTGCAAGCTGAAGAATGTTAGGAACCACAAACTCCATCGTTGGTGTCCTTTGAGCCTCCCTGGAGCCTAAAAAAATAATTTCAAGAAAACCAGGACTGATAAGAGCATCATTTCGAATGCATAAAACATCACAGAGCTTTTTCATTTCACTCCCCCTTGTGTCAAAGCCCCCACAACGCAATTGTCTCACGCCAGGTGTTTACCCACCATCCAGATGTGCTTTGTTTTTGTTTTTCAAACACTTTGTCTAAAGACACCTTGTCAAACAGCCTGTGGCGGTGTCCAATCGTGGGTTAACAAGCAACTGGGTGAAAAAAATAAATGGATAAATGGAATTAGCCCAACAACTATTCCATTCATACCAATCTTACCCTATCAACCACATTACTCTCATCAAATAAGTATGATGGAAGAATTACAAACACATTTTTGGCAAGTCCATGTTAACACAGATGTTTAAAAAAAAAAAAAAACTGATTTTTCTCCGGCGGCCAGCGTGTTTCGTCTTATGCGTTTGTGTGTTGAAAACTGAGCTCTTTGTCTCGAAAACGTGCGCTATTATCTCAATTATTTCGAAAAATGACAAACAGCAGAACAAAAACAGTATTGACTCAAGCTGGGTACACACATGCTCATTTTTAACATCCATTTTTGAACACACATAAAGACGACCGCAGATGACCCACAATGTACACCACACAAATAACGATAAATTACACGTTTTTTTTTTTTTTTCAGCCTTGTGGCAGGCCAAAATGCATCTACATCTATTGTACCAGGAACCGCCGTTTATCACACAGAAGATTTTTTTGGGCCCACAAAATCTGCTTGGTGGAGAGACCATCCATTTTTTTTTTAACTTGAATTTTCCACCCCTGGAACTTGAAAGCACATTTCTAAAAGTATTCCTTGCCACCTGTTCTCACTGTCTCGCTTGCACAGTTCTCCAAATAACGCTTGCTCGCTTCAAGCTGTTTATTTTTCACTCCCAGGAGATGATTACTGTGAAACTGACACAACTCGAAAGTCAAACTTGCCTGGATCATGTGAAAACCTTTCAAAGAAAAAAAAAAAAGGATCCACTTAAAAATCTGCAATGTGGTGGGGTTCAACATATTGCATGTTTTTTCAAAAATATGTTAAACAGGAAATTGATTCGTCACAACTCTAAAACTATACTACAACTATTGGTATGTGGGGGGGGGGGGGGTTCCCTCTTTTGGCACATACCCAGATTTTGACCACAGGTCACCCCAAGCCACTGCATTGTACAGAATGTTTCCCGTTATCTCCCAAAAAATTGTGCATCAGAAAAAAAAAAAAAAAAAAGAAAAACCCAAAGCCAAGTTTGGTCATCTATGGAAGCTACAAATCAGGCTGAATTGTGTCGACTCTCTGACAGAGTCAGATTGAGTGGGTGATCAATTTGGCTCGTACTGCCGGCAACGCGTCACCCATAGCATGATTGATCTTTTTAGTTTTTTTTTTTTTTTTTTTTTAGCTTAAATTAAAATTGATCATGCTGTGGGGGAGGTGGGGGGCAACTCCCTCCATTCAAGGAACACGCAAGATTCCGTGACAGCAAATAGTGGAGGGAAAAAAAAACATGATGTAAAAAAAAAGGCTGATTAATTACCCAAGTGACTTTATTTTTAATTGCAAGTTCAAGCGTGTGAGAGCACAAGAAGCGACATTCTGCTTAGCTCCCCCTGCATCAGTCACAGCTGACATTTATGGAACACAATTAGCTCCTTCCTTCTCTTCCAAGGGATTGTGTACTCTCCGGAGCGTGGCCCGAAAATAGCACAAGCACATCCATTTCAATAATAGGCCGCGGCGTCAGCGGAGAGTAAACGATCCGCTAAAGAAGTCAGCGGCATCCACCAGGGAACGTTTGGATGCAACGCGCTAGTTTGAATGCTCACCGGGTGTAAAAATGGTGACAGTTGATTTGGGAACCCTGAGGTGCACTTGCGGCCGGTCCGAGATGCCCGTTATTATGTTGTATATGTTTAACCGAGGGCTGGCCACATATGGCCCACTCCATTCTTTAATGTGGCTCACAGAGCATTTACACAGAGTTCATTAATGGGGGAGTTAAAAACGTAAAAGAAAAAAAAATCCCTTGTCATAATTAAAAGTTAAAAGAATCATAATGACTTGATAGTAGTACATGATCCGTGTAAATATGGTGCGAAAAAAAAAATCTGAAAAATCAGACAGCATCCTATGCCTCTAATCTGATATGCAATGAACCACCGCGCCCGATGAAAAACAACCAATTACAGACAAAAGATTTACGTGATGTCAATCATTTGATGCACACTTGCAGACAGAGCCTTATCTGGTTACCCCAGAAAAGTATCGGAGCTGGAATTGAAACCTGCACCTCTGTACAGTGAGTGCGACCCAGTGGGCCACCGCCTATTGCTTAACTCATTTACTGTATATAATACACAAAGAAGTGTAGAATCTAAAAAAAAAAAAAAAAAAAATTGTTTTCATTATTTTTTTCTCAACCTCATCGCCAAATGACTCCCATCCATGTGTCCGTTTTTAAAATGAAATGAGGCCCTTGAGCACAACAGTTTGCCCACCCCTGATTTAAGCTGACGACCACTGACCACATGGCTTTGTGTTGCTCTCCTTTGGCAACCCGCTTTTGTGCAATGAGTGTATGTGCACATGAAGGACTTTTGTATGCGTGAGTGTCTGCGTATATATAAATGACTGTGTGTGTGTGTGTGTGTGTGTGTGTGTGTGTGTGTGTGTGTGTGTGTGTGCGGCGTGTACATAAAAAAAGAAAAAAGACATGTTCAAATGTAAAGAGAAATAAATGGCAAAGGGGAGGGCCTTTATCGAAAACTAGATCTGCATGTGTGCTTCTTCTTGGTTCCACGTAACTCAAGTCATTGAGATGCACGCGGCGTTCTTCGAGCGACAGAGTGCACTGTGACTCACCGAGTGTGGGCGGGTTTGCTCAGCACGAGCGTACATACGCACACGCACACACGCACACGAGCATCTTTCTCTACCATGTGTACATACAGGCAGGCTAACGACAATCCCCTTCGGAACCGACATGATGAAGACGGTTGTGAGGTTTGCATGCAGTGGGTGGGAGGAGGAGGAGGAGGAGGAGGAGGAGGTGGTGGTCCCATTATGGAGTTGATGGAGGGCAAGGGGAAATAAATGGGGGTGTGCGGTGAGTCACCCAACAGTGTTTTTTTATTATTATCAGAGATACCCCTCGTCCAGGTGGTGAAAAATGCTCATGAAGGGCACACAAAGCAGAATGTGCTTAACAGGCTAAACAGATTAATATCACGTTTGCATCTTTGTTTGATTTGTCCAATAGCAAGACAAGAACGTTGGATGCAGAATCAGACACAATCTGGACGAATTCAATCGCTGTTGGAGTGCGTGCTGCCCGTGATCGACAAAAGATTGCAGCTCACTTGACAACGGGTGTAAAAAAATAATAAAATAAAATAAAAAATTGGTGGGGGCTGCGACTTAGGCAGCTCTGACGGTTTTCACCATGGAAAATTTGGGAGTGCACTACAAGTGTCAAATTAATTTTGAAGTCACAAACCAACTTTGGCTATTTCACCACTGCGGATTTGTGTGCTTAAAACTGCGGCATATGAAATCCCTGCCTGAGGCAAGAACAAGCTACATATGAGTGCAGTCTGCTATTCCAAAAAGGCCATGTTTTGTTTGTCACGGCATACAGACATGACCCAGATTATTTTTTTTGCCTTGCTATATAGATATGTCTCAATAAATTTTTGTATGTTTCTGGCGTACGGACATGACCCAGATTTATTTTTTTTGCCTTGCTATATAGATAATATGTCTCAATAAATTTTTGTATGTTTCTGGCATTTCAAAAATTGCTTCACTCAGCCATTTGCATCTACTGCCCGTTACAGTATTGCGTAATCATTGAATCAAATGGGTTAAATGAATTGCGTAGCTAATCTGGTATTTTTGCACCTTCGGGTAGAAATGCCCGTTACAGTATTGCGTAATCATCGAATCAAATGGGTTAAATGAATTGCGTAGCTAATCTGTTTGTTACACAATCCTAGGCGCTCCTGGTAAGCTTCCTGAACCTCTTGCTTGTACAACCAAGTTTGTGTTTTTTGGGGAAAGCAAATCTGAACACAGCCTTTTTGAACCCGCTTTTGTGACCATCAACAAAAAGCACTGGATCATGTTGGACGGGATAAATGGCGACTAAACAGCGGAGAGTGACCTTCCGCCAAGGTAGCGGTCGATAAGCGGAAGTCGTCGCCATGATTGTTTGGCCTTTGAATCAAAGGAAGACATGAGCGCTAACAATGAGCAAGTGGCGGTGGGGGGAGACCTTTAGAAGGGTATAGAGAGCTGGGATGGAGGGTGGTGGTGGTGGGGGGGAATCTCTTGAATGCAGGAAGCAGGTGGCTTGGTTGTAAACAGCTGTGGAACAACGGTGAAGAGGAAGGAGAAATCTTCCCGAGTAAGCTGTCCATAAAAAAGGACAGAAAGCAAGACGAGAAGTGGAGCGAATGAAGACAAACCTGCGGCAAGCAAGGTCACCTGACTTGATTAATGGCCTCGCGTTGCTCTAATAGCCACTCAATTATCTTCTACTGCCAATGGGCACGCAGTCTTTGGAGAAGCTCTGTTGGGATCCCTGAGGCGACATGAAGCCGACGCGCCAGCTGCGACGTCTCAATCTCGCTTCTCGCTATTTTGAGAAAAGCCACTTGTTGCACAGCCCCGATGACGTACGTCCACGTCGGGCTGGCAGTTCCGTGCACGCTTCGAGTTGAGATGAAAGACAACACATAGGCTGATACAGTATGTACTGTACGAACCACTAGTGCACCATACTGCCTATTTCATATTGGACTCTCTTAATCATTACGACCCCCCCCCCCCCCAAAAAAAAAATACACATGTACTCAAGACATAACTACGAAAGAATTGGAAACAAAAATATACAAATAGGAGAAAATATTTGAAAATGTCAACCATTTTCAGCGAAAAAAGAATGGCCAAAGAATCGGAACATATTCAGAAAAGTATTAGACAAAAATATGGTGTCACAAATGTTTGACATGAAGACAAATTTGAAAAATACTGCATACAAAAAAAAAAAAATCGAACCGATAAAAACCAGATTTATTTATGACGACAGACGGGCACTTTTCAGTTTTTGTTCCCTCAGTGGAAGCAAGGCAAATCCCGAATGGACTGTTCACACCCAACGAAAAGGTGAGGTGTCCCGATGCTTTTGTCCAGGCGGCTTCCGGATTTTTTTTTTTATCTTCCTCCTCGCTCGCTTCTTTCACTGAGATTCTTTTTGCGGCATCGGGTAACGAGCAGATTTCAAATGGAGCGTGGCCCAAAAAGTCCTGGGAGAACAGGCTAGGTGGCCTGTCAGGGGTGCTCACGACCAGCAATTCTGTGGTCCGCCAACCATAAAATCAGACGGATTTCAGCCAGCTTTGAGCGTCCCGTTCACACACACAAACACACACATAACCGAGACAATTAGATGCTTCAGGTCGAATTCCAATCGCGGGCGAAAAAGGCCAACAGCACTCTGGCAGGCACCCAGGTGCCTGATCGGTTCTGAAGCTGAGAGAGAGCAAGAGCGAGAGAGAGCAAGAGAGAGAATTGTTTGGAAGCTTCAGAAAAGAAACAAAAATATTGTTTTGTTTTTTCCCTGGTGCTGTCCAGGTGCCTGATCGGTTCTGAAGCTGAGAGAGAACAAGAGCGAGAGAGAGCAAGAGAGAGAGAGAGAGAATTGTTTGGAAGCTTCAGAAAAGAAACAAAAATATTGTTTTGTTTTTTCCCTGGTGCTGGGGATTTTGTTCTCCAAAGCAGTTGATCCTCAACTCAAAGCTGCTCTCGGTGACAAATACAAGGCAGAGAATAAGGCAAACTAATTAGTCCATTTGTGAAACGTTTAATCCCCAGATTACTGACGCAGTACATGTCAATGTTTTTTTTTTTTTTACTTACACACTCAATGCTAACCAGAAGTCCTAAGATACCATTAACAATTTATAATTATGACAAAAGTGCATACTCCCACATGTGACCTCCACCTGCGCGTTAGCAGGAAGCTTCCCCTTTTAAACCTCAACGGAAGCCTCATTGGCATTGCTAACGCTTGTATCAGTCTCTTTTTTTTCACCATTCTGAAGCACAAAGCACGACGTCCGAAAACACAGAGCTGTGATGAAAAGGAAAATAAACAAATGACATCTCACGCCACATGATCAAACAAAAATGGAGAAGAAGCGGCAGTAAAACAGGCCAAAAATCCTTATTTGTGGGGCGTGGGGTAAGGGCAAAAGATGAGTTGGGAAATCAGCACGCACACACCAGGCTGAGGAGTGAGGGCAGCAAACAAGATCTGGCCGAATCAAAAGCAAAGACAAAAAAGGTATGCATGTGACACATTAATATAGAGTGTGTCAGCCAAGTTTGTCTCCAGGGCGATGAAAAAGAAAGAAAAAAAAAAAAAAAGCAAACAGTGATGGAAAAGCGTTTCCAGATTGCACTGGAAAGTTATTCTGACCCCTTGCCGCCTCGGGAGAGCACACGCGGTCATATGCGTAGCTGTGTTAGCTTTGAGCTAAAAATAATGCGCCAACAGCGATGTTCTCACCACACGGCGATGGTGGAGTCGTTTGTGTAAATATTACGATTTTGACCTCCGCCCAGTTGGAGTGGACGACAGTCAAAGTAAACAACAATGCAAGAGTCAGTCTAGGACAACATAGTGTAGTTCAGTCCATTTTCTGACGGGGAACCAGAATCTTGAAATGACAACGTTGTAGTGCAAAAACTGTGTCTTGCAGAGCCATCAAAATCTACTTGTCGCTTGGGCCCTGAGATGTTTTCCATATTAGAAATGCCTTCAATCTTTGACAGAGTCGATTTAACATCAACACGACTATAAAAATAACAGCTTTCCAAAAAAGGAGGACATACTTTTGACATAGCTCCCTTCTAAAAAGAAGTCAATCTATTCATGTCGCCCTTCCCTTAACAGTCAATGATTTAAGCTTTGGGAATGTCATTGTCGGTTTACGACAAAGTTCTGTTGGGAGCGGGGGGAGCAACTGTTGAACGGAGCAACAACAGCGCCCCGCGGGTCTTCTGACGAGCCTCCCATTCATGTTTAATTACCAAAGCGTCCCCTTTGGGTGCTAAACGGAGCCGCTTAATGGCGGCGAAGGTGCCGTCCTGCCAAGAGCGCCGCTGC